GAAGAAAATTTATGTTGTCAGATCTTGTCAGTGTGTTACGATAAACATAGTTGGAAAAAATATATATAGGAATGTAACTTTGTGACTCGCATTTCTAGATTTATCGATGCAAATAAACAGTTAAATTTTATGGCAGATATTTTTTATAGTTTTACTGTCTAGTCTTGGTCATACTTTTGGTTGAAGCAGGCTTTCTAGTTAAATTTTAAGTGGTGTGTTGTCTTTATTGTGAATTGCTGTAAAAGTAATTGACCAATGGGACATGAATAAAGATCTGAATCTTTATTGAACCTACAAATCTGGACATGAGGGAAGGGAGAACAGATTGGGGGACAGCGGGACAGATGGATGGATATATATAAAGTGGTGGGAGGATGAAAGAACAGATGATTAGATAGATTGGTTAGCGGGTACATGGGTGCTGGATAGACAGAAAAATGGACAGAGAGATGGATGGATGAACAAGAGAAAGGATAGATTGATTGACAGGTGTGCAACTTAAAAAAATGTACAACAAAACAGTTTTATTGGATCAACTTTTTTGGAAAAAAAAACTTAGCTAAAATTGGTTTAAATTTGACTTAGACTAAAATGAGACTTTGTGTCATTTGTGGGATTCATCAAGATTCTATTGTCAATCTCCACTTTTACTCATCTTACAATATCAATGCAGGTGCCACACAGCTTTCTACAGGTACAACTAAAAAAATGGAATCTTGTGGAAAAGTTCAATATTCATCAATAGACATTTCAGAAAATAAAACTCAGATTAATACACATAGAAAAATTATTCAAGCTTTTGTTTCTTTTAGTTTTAATGATTATAGCTTACAGATAACAAAACCACCCAAATTCATTGTTTCAGAAAGTTAGATGGCATAAGATGAATTAAAAAAGGATTTTTTTGTTTTAAACAGACTCTTACACTGACATCGTCCAGAATATCTATGATCGAAGATGTATGGGGTCAGGGTTTCCTCAAGTGTAAGAAATTTAGACAAATGTAATTTCCTCTGGCGGTAGTATTTAGTTCCTCATCTATGGAACTCCTTTAAACCACTACTAGCCTAAATCATGTCATTTTTTCACGTCTTATCTGTTTATTTTTCAAATTGCATTTTGTTTACTCTTTATATTGTCTTGAAGGTGCCTTTTAAAATAGTTTTTCCTTTCTTCAGCACTTTGTATGAATGATGCTGTAAAGTTAAAACTGCCTTAAAATACACACATATTTTCAATTCCTACTTTCTTGTCATTTTTTTCCTATCTTCTCCATTCTTTCTGGATCTGGAAAATACATAATTCATAAGACTATAAAAAAAAATCCAACACTGTGTAGGAACCCTGTAAATTACAGTGTTGACTAAAACATCCCTTATTTACAAAGAGTAAACAAAGACAAAGTGGTTCTAAAACGGCACTCTCCCACTGCATTATTTTGGATAATAGTTTATTCTTTTCAAATCGGAAAGGAGCAACCAAGTCCAGTTTTTAAGAGCAAACTTCTTTCTGACGGCTACAAGCACAGCCTCACAAAGTCATGCAACAATGAACAGCTGATCCCAACTATGTTGAGGAAATCGTTTCAGGACCTGAACTAGGCAAGCTGTAACTTTGCAATGAAAAACAACATGCTGTATGTGTTATGTAACTTTTACTTTCATAAGCAAAACAAATGCTAGTTTATTTATATCTCTTAACTGTATTTAAACCAAGCAGCTCAGTCTTCTGAGAACATTCATTCTGATTAAACCTTTCTATCTATAGAGAGTAATTCATAACTTATAATTATTTTAAATTAATCTTTGAGGAACGAAAATGAATTAGAGTAATCTTAACACAGGAAATCCAACACTTTCCAAAGTAATTTCTTTAAAACCCAAACCCTCACACCTCCTCCCCTCATTTTGCTCCTTTTCCTCCTTCCTCACTGATGCACAAACCAATCAACCAATGTCAGAAGACCCTATAACAAGCCGATTTAAAATTCAACTGAGTTGAAGTTTCTCCTCTCAGCCAATTCACAGATTTTCCAAAGCCCATTAGAAGCCATGCGCTTGCCAGATAAGACAGTGACGGTTTATTGTTTGCTGTATGGCTGCTTTGTGCATGAGGGAAAGGCTGCAAATTATTTTTAGCTAAGTAGATTCACTTCAGCAGTTTGTCATCATTTTTTGCTTGTTATTGTCTTAGTGAGCAATGCAGTTGAGCTGTCAGGTTTGCTGATGCACACAGCCCTGCAGCCACAAAATGAGACTGCCAGGATCATTTTCTTGGGCCAGAGAGCATCTCTGGAAGAACAATAAAGTTGGTTAATTTTCCTTTTGTTTGTTTTACTTTTTCACAAAAATTAATTTTAAAAATTGTACACCATTGCTAAAGATAATGAATTTTAAAATGCAATTTATTTAATTAGAATCAAGATCTGTCTTGCATTTGGCAGAGTCACGAAAAGGAACCTGGAGAGATTTAAACCAACTATGACTGAAGAACGCTGGGAAAATGTAAAGTGGAATAATCTCTCCTCGCCACCTCGATGAGTCAAACTTCCAATAAAAACTCAATTCGGGTCTGAAAACTTTGCTGAACAGAAAGTTCAGCAAACTTAATTAGAAATGTCCTGCACTTTTCATAGAGTACATAATAAGAATAACTAACTGCAATTCAGTTATGATCATTACACCTTTGCAAACAGCACATTCTACTAAGCATGCACACTACCTTTAAATTCATCATTCTATTTTTTTTTTTACAATTTAATGCCTCTTTTTCTCGCTTCTCACTATGAATAGAGTGGGATCAAGCATTAATAGTCAATACTTTTCATGGTATTTGTCTCTGAAGACTGATAACCCAAAAATTGACTTCCTGTCTTTCTTGACTGTCAGTTTTCAACTAGATGCAAAAGATTGCTCAACTATGCACATGTACGTTTTGAGTACATATCATTTTAAACAAATTAACTATGTATAAAAAGACCAACTTCAAACACAGGAAATTAAAAACGTAGTTTCCTTTTAAAGAGATGAAAGTTATCTCTTGGATTTGATAAAATAATAAAAAAGGGATTTAATTAAACTTTCTAACATACGCTTTTCTCAAAGCAAATAAAACACAGTCTTGTGAGGATACAGTTCAATGCAGTATGCCCTGCTCACTGTTTGTTTTTATATTCCCAACATTAAAATGTTGCTTACCAACTATGAGGAGAGTGAAAAATAGAGTAATATCAGCATAGTGCATATCCCGAGCCTGGCTGATGAGTCACACATGACATGCTGCGCCTCTTTTCTGCATCACTACTGATGAAATCACATACAGCATCGCTAACCTTTAAAACTCCAGTTGCTGGAGGGAAAACAGGTTGCACGTCAAGAGTTTGGGTAAGCAGCGGAAGAGCTCAAAGTCTCTGATCAAATTTAAGAACAAAACTTTTAACTGCATTCTCAAGCGTTCTGCAGATAACGGCGGCTAATTACGCACATTAGCAGCGTCCTAGTCAGGAGCCAAATCTGTTCCCTCCGAGTCTCGCGCTTACAGGAAATTAAAGCGCCGATATGTAAAATTCTGAAATTGACTGCAGTCATTAAATATTCATCTGCACACAGCGCATTTGCACCAGCCGGCGAGGCAGTGCTTCACAGCCGACTAGCAGAATACTAAAACGTCTCTCTCTTCCCTTGCAGCAGTGGCCTCGAGCACTAGAGAGACATGAAACAAAAGAAAACAACAAATTCACAGGAAAACGTGACGGGAAAGAGCAAGTGCCCTGGCGCATTTCTTATTCTTCATGGATGACAGACTGGACAAAGTCATCCCTCTCAGTCTGGATTTATCCATCAGAGCAGCTAATTTGCACATCACTGCCATACAGAGAGCAGTCTGCTTGATTAGCTATATACTGTAATTAAAACTTAATGAGGGAGCACAAGTCGTGTTAAGCTTCCTTTCAGACCTCACAAACAAAGTCTTAATGGCTAAGCTGAGTCATACCTTAAGGACCTTATAGTGTTGTATCATCCTAACAGAGCAATCCCATGAGAGCAGGACTGTTCTCCAAAGTTTAGGTTCTGGAGGCAAAACTGCTACAGTAAGGTATAAAGCCTTTCATAACATACAGAATAATTACTTCTTTAGGCTCAAGAGATTCTAAATTCTCATGATAAAAGTTACTGAAAAAGAATTATTGATTGTCTTTCTTTCCTTTAATCATACTGCAAAGTCTTACCATCGCTGTGTACTTTGAATACATGTGTGTTTATATTTTTTTCTGCTTTTTTGTCATATTTCAAGGTTTAAGTGTGATGATTTGGGGCTGCTTTGTTGCATAAGGAACAGAATAACTTGAAACAGTTGATGAAAACCAGAATTTTGTTCTGTGAGTCGACCTCTCAAAATCTCCAAAAAGTCAACAGCTTTGGAGTGGTCTAGTCAAAGGCTAAACTTCAGTGCAATTAATGAAACGTATGTTGAAAACATTTCAATGCGGCAGAATTCAAACAATTGTGCAAAAAAAAAAAAAAAAAAGAAGAGTGATGTGACTGGCTCATTGTCAGTTGTAGATGCTTGATAGTAGAAGCTACTATCAAAGATAGATCGAGCATTCTACATTAGATTTAGGTTAATTAACTTTCACATAGAATCAGGTTGGTCTGAATTCACGTAATGAATTAAATAAGCTCTTGAAAACTACAGTTTGTATTCACTCAGGTTATCGTCGTCTGGTATTAAAATTTTGTTTAATGATTTGAAACTTCTAAGCGTGACAGGAAAGCAAAAAAAAAAAAGAAAACCTGCAAGGGAGAAATGTGTTTTCAGCACCTTGGATGATGAATTAAACAAATGTTGCACAGCTCTCCTTGAAGACATAAACTCAATGTGTTCCCATCGACTCAGAAGAAGTTCAATCAATTAGACGCACAGATTATATCTCATCAGAGAGAGAAAGTATGGCACCTGCACTGGCACGTGCTGCGAAAAAAAAAAGAAAATCAACTTACCGTGTGCCATCAGCTTTCCAGCTGACTTTGTAAGGATTCTGCTCTAGAAAACGAAGATTTTGTCGGTCCATGGACACAGGCTGCGCACCCGGAAATCCAGACCTGTTGTCAGAAAATATTGTAATTGGGCTCACGTTTAGGCCAATATTTCATTACATCACATAAAACATACACATTATATGATATTATTATAATTGATATTATTATCAATTTATTTCACAGGAACATCCATCATGACGCAAGACATCGATCACATATACGCAGTATCTCTTCTTAGCTCAGTCTTAAGTCTAATAATTCTTTATCAAGTTCAAAAGTGTACAAATCTTTTAGAAGGCTTTTTATGCAAATGATTGCTTGAAAATCCAAACACTTAAAATTAACTTTCATTTCAACATGCAATGGACACGAATGCAAGCATTTTAATATTTAGACAGAAAACAACTGATAGTTAATAATAATCAGATTATTTTGCCAAACATTAGTTCCTGCTTAAAATGGCTAAAAATCTCATCCACATGCATGACATCAAGAGCATATGATTAAAATCTTGCTGGTCTGCATTTTGAAGCTAGTTTGTCTTGTTTCCACATGAAAGACTTTGTCTGGCGAGCTTCTGATTGTTGAAGTGAGAGTGAACATCATGAATGAGATCAAAGGAGACATATGGGGGTTTCAGAAAAAAGTCCAGGCTTTGTAAAGAGTCTCAAAAGAAGTAGAAATCAACCCTGGCACTGTATCGAAGTATGTCTAAAGATGGAGGACGAAAACAACTACAAACATGGTCATACAAAAGCAAGCTTATCTCATGAGGAGATGAGAAGAAGTTGTTCCCGAAATTCCTGAAATGTCATCCTGAAAACTACAGCAGGTACTTGTACAGTCAGAAAAAGACATTTAACTCTAATGGGAGGCATGCAAGGAGGAAACATTTGTTCCACCTTTCAAGATAAATACCCGATTAAAGTTTAAAAAAGAGAGCATAAACAAAGATCAGGACTTCTGGAGAAATCTTTGGTCTATTGAATTATATTGAATAATCCTGATACCAGAACAAGAGGACGTGTTCGCCCCGGGTTGGTTGTGTAAATAAGACTAATTCTTACTTGTCTCATCTGACTAAATGAAAGTTAAATAAATACAAATCTTATATAAAGCTATTAAGAATAGAGGTTAAAGTGTCATGGTTTGGGGAGAGTTTTCTGCGCCAGAACTTTCCACTATGATTTTTTTTTTCCATGCATCAAAGGGTGCTTGAAGAAGATAACTAAATTTGATATTTCATAAATTGATCTTTTTTTCCACATAGCTATAAAGCTTGTTTGGGAGTTTTTAAGCTTGAACTTTAGAAGTGCTACAGCTTTAACTGCCTAGTTATTTTCTTATAAAGTGAAAGGATGAGCTCAGAAAGTATGAAAAATGATGTCCTCCTACAATAGATAAGACAAATAAAGGACACTCCACATAATTTTGGTTCTACACATCGACTACTTCGAGAACATTTTCTCTCTTGAAACCCTTCATGGCAAAAACCTTCTGCATCAGCCCATTTAGATTGCATAGTAAAACTAGAAATTAGCACACAGGGCTTAAAGAAAGTATTTAAAAGAAGGGAAGAGAAAATTACAGTGTGGATTGTTCTCTGTGCTGGGATGAGACAGCTCAGCGGGGCTGGCAATTTCCGTGGAGGAAAAAAAAAAAAAAAAAAACTGCTACGGTATATTCCCCTAAAATATAAAAATCTATTTCTGATTTTACCGCCTGCCTGAAAGTGTGAAGATGCTCCAAAAACAGAAAAAAAAAGTTGAAACAGATGAGTCACTCCCGACTATGCACACCTACATACGTTTGTATACACACAGTTTCCCAAAAACGAGAGAGATCAAGGAGCGCCTCACCTGTCCCACTCGGCCATCTCCTGACACATTCTTTGGATCTCGCCCAACTTGGGTTGGGTCGTGACCTGTGTGACCCCTTTCACTGAGATCCCTTCGAGAAACACTGCACCCTGGGAGGAGAAAGTAAGAGAAAGAGGAAAGTCAAAAAGGCGTGGAGTTTGGATAAACATTCACCTCCTCCTACACACAGCGATCCAAAACAGATGTTTCTCTGGTTCTGAGTTGCTGAGTGCAAAAGAAGTAGGCAGAGATATTCAAAGAAAAATGCTGCTTTTATTTTTAACCATCTAAAACCACTGACACATTAATTATTTAAAGTGTTAGCCTCATAAAACGTGTTACTCTGCCTCGACTCAGTCTCACTACAGCTGTAACCTTGCTCTTATACTGCTGACACAATCACTTCTAAAGTACTTCCTCCTTTCACTTGTTTTTTGATGCTTGTTCTGAGCAGGCAAGTCCTGCTAACTGCTTCAATGTGACAGTAAACAGAGACAAACAGAAACAGACGAGGCACAACAGTATATCATCTCAAACACCCCAAGTTCAGTTTCATCAAACCAAAAAATTATTTGTCCAATTGCATTTAGAAACTATAATCCAGTAATTAATTTTCAAAATAATGGCTTGTTTCACTGTGGATAATGACTCTTCCTTATGTTCTTTTGCTTTTGTTCTATGGTTGAATTTGCTGAAATTGATCCAAAAAACACTCATGATCTCTGGGACACACATACTTACAGATGAATATGTCACTTTCAATCTTCTGGGAATTGTACCAAAGGATGAACAAAACTTGTTAAGGCCTATTATTCCCATTATTGATAACTCAGCGGATTGTCTAATGATTTCCAAAATGGAGTTTTTGAAGTGTTGCCACATAACTCAAATTTTACACAATGACTACTACATTAAGATTATGTATTATTTAAAATTCTGACTTTGAAACAAAAGTAGTCATTTAGTTAATAGAGAAATGATTTAATCTATCACATAAGTGATCTTCTCTATAAGCTCCACTGTTTGTTCAAAAACAAAGAGAGAGAGAGGGGGACTATATCATTCCGATTGCTTTAAAAGTTGATCATGATAATACTGGGCAATGGCTTGGCCTCCAGCAATTTACCATCAGCGATATGTTCCAGGTTCCTCTAAAATGGTTTGTTACAGCAGAGTGCACATGAGTGAGAATAGGGATCTAATTTCTCCCTCACCTCTAATGCCTCTGACCTGGCAGAGAGTGAGAAACTGTGGCTAATCTCCTGAGATCAGAGCTGCAGAGTCCAACAGAGCAGCACAAGTGGATTCTGGGTGGCCACAAGAAACAAGAAATACATTAATTTTAAACAAAATCCATAAAAAGAAGCATGTGGGGCTAATGGATGAAATTATACTTTTAGAATAATTATGAAAAGATTAGAGGACTTTAGCAGGCTCAGAAGGGACAAAAAAACGTCTTAAAACCACCCAGTTACCCTAGTTACCATTAAACATTGAAGTCAAGTGTTTCCACAAATGCTCTCGGGCTCTGCACATATTTTTCTCCTAACAGCCAGACGGCCACAGACTGGTCTAACTGACGAGGTGGGCCTCTCAACCGAGAGAAGGTACTCCTTAACGACAGCCGAGTGCTGCAGTAACGGCTCTAAGAGCTGCTGCTCTGCTCTCCAGATCTGTCTGGTGGATCATATTCTCGCCTATTGGGTTCGCCTCAGCTCGGGTTTTCAGTCTGGGTGCAATAAAAAGTAAAAAAAAAATACGCGTTATTCTCCGTTATTTTTGAAGTAGCGTCTCACTGTAGCAGTAAATCTAAGATTATAATTAGTATTTGTTTATCACATGTGGTTAATTTATATATATGGGACTATTTTTATAATCCAGCATCACAACACATCAGCCAGTCTGGAGCCTCTGACCAGTTTTAGTTTCTCCTTCTTCCTCTTGCCCGGCGCCGCCGACCCTGAGGAGCTGGGGCCCGACTCCTGGCCCACCGCGTTGCCGTCGTCGTCCACATCGCCGTCGTCGTCGTCGAAGCACCACTCGGGCAGAGCGGGAGCTGGGGGCGTGTCCTCTTCCTCACCATAGCGACAGAAAAGCTCTTTGAGGTAGTCTCCCTTATAGATCCCAGGAGCCCGAGCCTGGGCGAAAGCAGCCACAGCTGCCTCGATGCTGATAAGAAAAGAAAAAAAAAAACAGATGGGGAGGGTTTGTGTTTGGTAAAAACTCACCCCAGGCAGGAAAGTAAATAAAAACTTTATATCACCAGTGCAGTGATGTTAAGTTTTCAAAGTGATGTTTAATCAATAATTCCTATATTACAGATGATGACTGGATTTGATCAAAGCATCATAATCATTTTGCAAAAGGTTGAAGTGTATTCAAATTTAGTTACAGTTTTTTAAGGCTGCAGCAGAGGACTGATTTATACATTTTAGCAGCTTAAGGCTACAACACGGCTCTTATTGTCAGTATAAACACAAAGGAAGTTGTATTCATTTTAAAATTCATGAATTTAGGCTCCAACACATTTATTTTGGAGCAGTTTGGGTTACATAGTGAAACAGAAGGACCTTCATTAATAGAGGTGGTGCTGCTGTGGCCTCAATTCTAAAACCATTCATTGTTCTTCACCTCTTCACAGCTCATCAGCCTAAACCCACAATGCATTGCTTTGGAAGTTTACATAATAGACCAGCATAATGTAGACCATAGTTGGAATACTCTGGTTTGTTTTGCTTCGTTTTATATATATAATCCCCTTCTCACCCTCCGTGGGTGGTCTCTCTCTCTCTCTTTCATCCTCTGAGCTCGGGTCCTCTACCAGAGGCCTGGGAGCTTGAGGGTTCTGCGCAGTATCTTGGCTGTGCCTAGAACTGCACATTTCTGGACTGAGATGACCACAGGCACCACTATGGTCTTCACCTTCCAGGCCTTCTCCAGATCCTCTCTGAGGCCCTGGTATTTCTCCAGTTTCTCCTTTTTCCTGATGTTGTGGTCACTTGGTATTGCTACATCCACCACGACGGCTTTCCTCTGTTCTTTATCCACCACCACAATGTTCGGTTGGTTCACCATTATATGTATGTGTGTGTGTGTGTGTGTGTGTGTAATTCTCAAATATATACTCAAATTTTCTCTTCACTGTCTAAGTCTTACCACAGTTTCTCAGTTGAATTTTGATCTGGTCTTTGACTGGGCCATTCTAACATCATTCTGAATATACCAAGATTGCATATATTCACAATCCTTCCTCTTCGGAAGTGAGAGTGCTGCCCACCACAAATGTTGATCCGGGCGGAACACACGCGCTAAATAATAAAACATAATTTAACAAAGTTTCGAGGCAGATTAATTTTCCTCTAGGAATTTTAATCATCGAGGTACTCGAATCATTCGAGGAATCGTTACAGCCCTATCTGATGTTGCTACCCCAACAGAGGACGGCAGAAGGTTTGATTAAGTTTCTCTTTGCCTGGTCTGTCAGTTTGATTGGGTGACCATTTCTTTGTAGGTTGACAGTTGTGTCATTCTCTATTCATTTTTGACAGGCTGAATAGTAAAGCATGCCATGCATTTCAGATTTTCACGTAAAACTATGAATCATTTTTTTCTCTTGTTTACCAAATATTTGTCTTTTTATGTTGGTTATCAACATAAAATCTCACAAAAATACTTTGAAAATTATGTCTGTACATGACAAAATGTAAAAAAAAAAACTTCAAGGACAGAAATCTGGTATCTAAAAGTAGAACAGAAGGCTTTTCTCAATGGCTTCATGGCTTTATCAAGACTTTAACCTACCATCTGCTCTAATTTATAATAGGAGACGTGGCTAATCCAGTCACCTGTCAAGTCATTTTTATTTTTTACCTGCTTGCCCTTTAACAAACAGCCTAAAGGGATGCCTTCCAACATGGCTTTGTGCAACATCTGGTGTAACTGGGCCAAATCCTGCAATTATTATGATAGATTCTAATTTAGCTTTTACAGCCTAAAGAGGCTATTTTTCCTCCACTTTGAGCTCCTTAGGGTATAAGATATTGGTTAACAGCAGAAACCTCCAAAATTAAAATTTTACTCAGAACAAACTGTGTTTTATGTTTTAAAGTCAGGAGTTGCACTCTCATCTTAAACCGTGGATATAAACAAAAAGAAAAAAATGACTTGGCATTCACTTCATCATAGATAAACTGTTATTGTAGGCCTAATCGCACATTAATGAAAATTCAATTTCTATTTCCAGCAACAATCCAAAAATAACAGATAAATAAATAAATATGGACCACTGTTGACAGTTTCAGAGCTGAATTATCTTTCAACACGTTAACAGTGGATGACAGCTGAAAACGGCCTGAGAATATTCATTTCACAGGAAACAGTGGGAGGTGGGAGGGTTTAATTCAGCCCCCACATCTCCAGAGATTCTCCATCTCAGAGCAGAGACGCACCCCCAACCCCCTGCCGTCCTGCCTGGCTTCTGGAAACCATTTCCATCTCTGAAAAAAGGGGCCCGGTCACCGCTACCTGGCCCGGCCTTTGCGATGCTCTGTGTTGATTGGTACTGACAGAGTGCACTCATGTGGCATCACACATTCTGTAACCTCTCAGAGACAAAAAAGGAAAAAATAGAAAAGAAAATAGCACAAAAGGCAAGCTGAAGAAAGACTGAAATTGCTGGGAGGATGAAACTGAAGTAATGATGCAATCCACTGGAGAGACTCTGCTGGATAGTCTGAGTTATCAAGCGAGACGACTGCGAGCAGCTCACAGGTGTACGGGCGCACGCTCGGGGTCCTGGGTCCTTCTGTAATCCTGCACTCAGACATCTGAGCGATCACAGCGTCAGCTCTTACCTCCAGTCCATCTTCTCCACCAGGTACGCACATATCAGAAAGCCCGTCCGATTGAAGCCATGCGTGCAGTGCACTCCTTCAGGAGACAGAAAGATGTTGGGAAAAAACAGCAAATTAAATGTGCGGAAGATGCAAACTTCTATGCAATCAGAGAAGTACACCTTGCAAAGCACCATGGTTAGAAGTTGTTATTTATCTTTAGAGTCTTGATAAAGAATAAAGCAAAAAAAAAAAAAAAGGCATGTTATCCCCTTTCTGTTCGTGTCAACATCTCTGAGATGGGTCCATGTTTTGAGAACTGGAGTGAATTGTCTCAGAGGGCTTTCTGACTTTATACCTACATCAAGAATCTGCCTCAAACCAGCAGCTGGACAAACACAGGAGACTCAAAGATGTGTGAAACATTTAAGGAAATGAGGCATGAACAGAAAATGCTTAATAAAAACAAACAATGAAAACAAACAAAAGCAGAGACATTTATCCCCCCACATGCACCAAATTTAAGAAACTAGTTCTTTTTCCCTTAGCGAGGTGTACAAAAGCTTTGAAATGAAATAAAATGAAAGTTGTCTGGACTAGAAGTTGTTCCTGTTAGGAGGTCTGACTGGCCTTTATCAACCCAGCTGTTTCAATTGGACATGTGTTCTGCAGAGAAAGCCAACCCTGATTACCAGCTAAAGACAGGATGTTGTTGAGATGACGATCAGACACTCTGCTTTAGTGCTCAGGCTACTCGATTTACAAGGCAAGGCTGAATTTGTAGGCAAAAAGTCAACGAAGAGAAAGTCGAGGTGTAAGAGAGCCCCCTGCTGCCAATAGCGTGAAACTGCATGTCTTCGCAGACATTGATTGGGACATGGCAAGAATTATTTCTCAACTAAATGATTCCTTTTGTTGTTAATTACTTATTCAGACACTAATTGTTTTACTAAAATAAAAATGAAATAAGCAAAAAAATAGTAAACGATAAAAAAAATTAAAGGATCTATGAAGGCACTACATAAAACAAAAGTCATAAAGCAATACAATAATAGCCCACACACTGGCATTTTCAGTTGGAAAGAAAAAATAATTTAGACACCAACTGATGCTCCTTCACCCACAATCACCTACACAATGTTCACCAGGAGAGCTGTTTCTGTTGATAACTCCTACGCTTTATTACAAATTAATATGATACTGACTTCCACAGACAGCAAACTGTTTTGGGAGTGTGTAAAATTCACCCACTCTCTTTACCACTAATAAAGAAAAACTTCACCGGGGTGGCTTATTCTGCGTGGCTCTACAGACAGAACAGACCCCAATAAGAGCCTGATTGATGTGTGTGAACAAATATGCCAGTAAAACATATGAAAAACATTAAAAGGATCATATTGTATAGTAATGCTGCCCTCTGCTGTAAACAAATGGTAGTGCTTCAAAATAACACTGCATCTTCTCCATAATCTAACATCCACTGTAGCCCTTAAGCCATATCTTTAATTTTCAAATGAACTTCAATTACCTTCTTGAACATGAATAACATAATGTCTACAAATATGCTAAAACAAAGTCTAGATTAAGTTTTTGTAAACTTTATTAAACGTACTGTAAACCGCAGGATATTGCAATAAGAGTTTTCCCCAGAATCAAACTACTGAAGATGATTAGAAATGCAAAATAAACAAAAATAAATAAAAATGAAGTAACACTGACACAAAACTGTTAAATTATGCGATACTAAATAATTATAGTACAAGCTGCCACACTAAAAACTAAACTGAGAGGGTTTGAATGAAGGTTGTAAATCTTTCCCCTTAACTGGGAAATAATTCTTGAAAACATTATAATGTAATAACAATTATAACAAGCGCAGCAAAAATCAAAACACCAAATAAAATGCATTTCTTTATATTCAGGTGACACCAGATATTTTTACATGCAGCAAATTAAATGGATGTGCAGCTATTTTTTTTCTACCTGCACAAAGTTAAATCAAAACAAACTCTTTTCTTTCAGGTCAGTTAGAATCAACAAAATGATTTCTATTTGCTAACGTAGAGAAATTAGAGAGAGAATAGGCCAGACACTTATTAATTAACATCTTCAAAATCACAAGCTTATATATATATATATATATATATATATTTTTTTTTTTTTTCTCAGTTTTTGCTAGCATTGCCTTTGAACTGTGTAACGTTCTCTACTGGAAAGATGGCAGGAAAATAACCAAGAGAATGAATTGCCAGAGATGGCTTACCGATCAGTTCTGTGGGGTTCTTCTCTATGAAGTCCTCACAGAGCCTGATGAACACTGCAGTTGTCTCTTTAGAAGGGCATTCCCCGTGGCTTTAAACGCACAGAACAACAAACTCCAGCGCATTAAACACAGACACAACACCAACACTTTCAGCTGTTTAGATTTACAGTGAAATCTGCTCATACCCTTTGCACTGGAGCTTCAGATACTTAATTCCTTCTTTCTCAATATCGTTGCGGTCATAAAAGCGAGTAGTGTTCGTCAAATCTACGAGCAAACCCATTTTCACCTGAGGAAAAGACAGAGACACAGTGAAGCAATGGGTTTCCTTCTCAATATCAGTGCTTTTGTCTTTAGTAATTTCCTTACTTTGAGACTTTTTAAATAGTTGGACAACATGCTCGGATGAAATCTGTTCTCCTCTGCGACTTGGTCATCATACCTAGGACCCAACATCGTTTTCATAGGCAGGAATTTACCTAGGGAAAAAAAAAATCATTAAACTATTGCCAATAAATGTTAATTCAGTAAAGTCACTTTTTTGTCAAATATTTTTAATTAAGGTGCTATCTTGAGCTACTATGCTGATTTATTTTAGCTCAGCTTAAGGAGATTATCTCAACACTTTAATGTTCTTTCTTCCTCATATCTTAATTGTCTTTGCTGTGACTTGTGTTGGGGTATTTTAACCGCTTTTTCTTTTTGCTTCTAATAGATAACCATCTGCTTCTGATGGTGCTTTTTTGTTTTACTTTGGTGTTTTAGAGTAATCTGTTCAGATATTAAATATTTATTCTTTTTAGTTCAGGGTTCTTATGTATTATTCTTTTTAGAACTCCAGATTTTATCACAATGTAATTGTAAATACAAAACATCCTTATGAACGTATAAAGTCATAAAGATGGGTAGAATATTTTTATTATTTTTTCTCATCTTCATTCTCAGGTTGTGAAGAAATACAAGGTTTTTTTTTTTTTTTTTTTACTTAGATTTGCTTTCTCCAGATGGAGTGGTGGAGTAGATGGATATTCTACCACAAAACATCCCTATTACCACTGTCATATCATTAAATTAACAATTAATCATTGATTATTAATTGGATTAACTGAAATCCATTGCTTCTAACCCTAAAAGCCAGATTATTCTGACCACAGGGTGAAATTAAGATTTTGCAAGACATTATATCAAAAACCTTCTGGGCTAATGCTACTCATTGCAAAATCCCCAGGATTCCACACTTGAGATAAATAGCAGAAACTGAAAATTGAAAGCTGTGCAGTGAAACGTTTCAGGGAAATGCACTTGTGTGCACCTGTGTAATAAACGTTAACTGAATTTGTGTGTTAATAGCTGCAATTCTAGGCAGATGAGTTTCTGGCACTTCGTACAAGAACAGCTCTGTCCATCGTGCACCATGCATAGCCTCGGTTTGTTTTGACACGTGATACTAGGAAGCTTGTAGACGGAAACAAAATGTTTAAAGCAACTTGTTCCCAATTGAAAAATATTGCCCATGAATACCAATTTGGTTTAAAAGCACCACCGAAAGCCACTACATGCGTATTTAATCTGCACGCCCTTAAAGGTGGCATGTGAGAAGCGTCACGCCAGACTTCATTGAATAAATCCGGAAAATTCACTAGGTATACAAAAAACAACAAAATCCAAATGCAAATTTAAAACATATCAAGTTTATGTAATTTTGTAAGTGAGCTATGGAACTCGGCGGTAAACTCACTGGTTTATTTACCAAATATAGCTCTTTCACTTGGATAGCACTGTTCACTCACATTCATGTAAGCCTTCTAAGATAAACAACAACAAACTGAGACAGCTAGTTTTTCTAAATTAACTTCAACTTCATTTTTAGAGAACGCAGCGAATCTAGCACTATCCACATGTTATTTGGGCAAACAAGTTAATTCAGTTTACATAGCTCGCAGAAGATGACATTTAAAAAAAAAAAAAGCCCATATGTATGTAATATATGTTATTTACCTGCCAGAGGCTGCCCTCTCCTGGGACAGTTACGCCATCGAGGAGGGGGTCCAGTGTGCGACATGTTAAGAATAGACTTGTAAAAATCTGCAAAACCTTAAATAAGTATCCGTCGGTCACAGACCTCTGATCCCGGATTAAGACTACACTCGAGCACCGCGGCTTCAAGGCCCAGTAGCTGCTAATTCAAAGGGATCAGCCAACAAGTTTAAGCCCGGGCAGCATTCCGACGGGCGGGAACGAATTTAAACACAACATGGGCTGTGAAGAGTCAATGCAGTGCACCACCCGAAAATTACTTCTCTCTTTCCAAGGTGTTTTCTTTCTTTTTAAATCCACATGGTAAGAAAAAGGCAAGCATTACTTCACTGGGTTAGCTTGTGCTAAATTACAGAGCCAAGCTCCTTCTTCTTAGTAATATCTGCGATTTAAGGCAGATAGGCTGTAATGCTGCCACCTATTGATACATTTCAGAATGACATGAAGCACAGTCGCGCACTAAAGCTAAAGCTTATGACTTCATGTGGAATTTTTCGTTACATTCAATAATTAATACACTATATTGTTAAATTCATTTATTTTTATAAAAACATGTTAAGATTTCATTTAACTGCACGCAGCGGCTGACATGGAAACAATTTTGTTGTCCAATGGCAATAAAATTCATGAATCTAAACTGAACGTGAGATTAAAAAATGTATCAGTAAATGACAACACAGCTAAAACCAATTCATAGTCAATAATATTAAAAACAACAGAATAAGGATGAAATTGAGTATGATTAAAAGAGGAAATGCTCTTTTAAAACATGTTATGCAAACAATATAAGAAAGTTGCAACAAATACTAATTTGGATTTAAAAAAAAGAGAGAATGATTTTGCCATACATTGGTGGAGAATAGCTTGAACTCGGTGTACAGCTTACCCAATCGAATGTCAGTGGTATTTTTTTATTACATCATAATGCATGCAGCAGGACAGGTGAAATTAAACTAATAAATTAATATGGTTTTGCAGGCAGCAGAGTGGCACTGTTGACTTGCAGAAAACAGATCATTGGTTCAATGAATGGACATGTTTAACTATGTACCTACTTTAAGAAATGAATCCATTAAGAATATGTTACCGGATAAAGTCTAAGTTTTGAAGTAAGTTTTCTGTTACAGTGTGTTTTGATTATGACCATAATTTCTTTCATGTCTAATTTTAATAACAGAAGTAGATACTCATGAATATTTTTTTTCACGTGTTCAAGTGACAAAAAACTTGAACATGATGAAATGTTTGTTTTCATAAACATTTAATCCTCCAGAAGAGGTAATAAAAGCTGTTTACATCACACCATAATATACAGAGCAACAAAATCACAGTAAATCAATATTAACAGTAGGAATGTAGATTCATTGTTTGTGTTTGTTTTTAAGTTTATGAAGACAGAAACCTAGCAACGCATACCACAGTGGAAAGCAGACAAAGACTTCCATCATGTCTCTACCAGTATTGCCTGCTTGCTATTTTGGAAATAACTGCAGAAAATGATTGTTGGAATCTCCGTCTAACTATCACAGATTATTACAAACAAAAGGAGAACTGAAGTTTGCTGTTAGCAAAAACACATCTATGATAGTGTTTTTTTTGTTTGTTTGTTTTACTTTGTCCCATTCATGATTATCGTTGTTTTTACATCTTCTTTATTGTTCATACTTTATATACAGATCAAAACCACTTTGACATTCACATGCTCTATTACACAGTGATAAAAGAAACATAACTGTACAAGCTTATTTCTGTGGAAACAATTAGAAAACAACACAAAGTGTACAAAACCCCTGCCATGAGTTCAGGTTTCTGTAAAAAACATGACTTTAACAAATCATTTCAAAACATTTTTTTGACATATAGTATCTTATAGAATACATGTTTAATCATTATTTTTATTATAAAATATTCAGAAAAAGCTGCCATTACCTGTTACATATTGTTTTCACTGGTAAACCAACACACTTTTGTTGAAATCACATCTGTCATTAAATATGGTGAATCTCATTAACCCGAAATAAAGTCCAATTGAAGTGATGGTAGTCCCAAATAATGTGAGGAAAACAGGCGACAACAATGGCATTATTAAACTTGGACATATCTCCAAAATTCATGAAAAGAAACTGGTCAGGCAACCTGCACAGCAACACTGAAGAAACTGTAGGAATTTCAAACGGAGACCAGTTGTGTTCTATGTAACAGCAATCTTCTGTGTCCACATATCTGAACTAGGGAGTGAGCAATGGCCACAAGACAGAGGTCCTTTCACCCAGGAAACACAGTGGAGTTACATTTTTCAACGTCATAGTGAAGCCATGTGGATCAACACCGAAGAAAAGATGGTTTTCATGAAAACCTAAAAGGAGCCTTTCAATCTTATAGATTTGGGGATCCTTTGCCAGGCAGAATGTCAAATATCATAGAGTAGAAACTCCAATTAAAACAGGACAGAATGCTAAAGTTGAATCAAACTTTAGCATTCTTTTGACTAAAGTTTTAGTCAAAAGGTATAAACACGTCTGTAACTAGGCTATAGGAGCAACAGTTTGCACTTGAACTATAAAGGATAAATTTACTTGGAATGTTGTTTTTAATGACAAGCCTAGCATTTTAAAAGAGGCGTTTGCATTTTTTAGAATCTGTATTCTGTTATATCATGCAATCAACATGCTGTGTTCTTTAATAATACAGTCTATGACACATAGTTTGTGGGTACAGTAAACAGCCTACGAAACATGTTCTGAGAACTTCATTCTACAAACACGTTCTTGTTGTAGATTTGCTTTGAGACCATAAAGCAGTTGCAAGAAGGATGTAATGAAGGCGTCTTGAGAAAAACCCTTAAAAACAGACAGGTCGCCATGCTGTAAAGAAAAACAGGCCATATGTTTTCAACTCATGCTGTTTCACTGTAGGCAACAATCTTTTCGCATGTTGTCACTGAAGATCTGTACTGAGTGACTCATCTTGACTTCACCTTGTGTTTTGTTGCCACAGCGCTCACCTAACATCACTTTGTTCAAACATGTTCAAGCTTATGTATAAACTCTTCATTGGAGTCTTTTCTTGTCTTTTGCCCAAGTCATTCTTGGATGGCTTTTCCAACAGAGGCTCCGTGGTGTCCTGACTGCGATATGGGCTGCTCTGTGAGGAAGAAAACACCATTGATCCTTCTGGAGAAGACAGGAGCTGTGTCTCTGAGGTTTCGGAGAACCTCTCTTCCGGTTCATTCTCTTGTAGAGAACTAAACGATGGGTCGCAGTCGTTACCATTACGGACTGGAGTGAGTGGCGCCCCTCGGTTTCTTTGAGTTTTTCCCGTGACAACTTGGTTTTCAATTTGATCTGTGGTTGGCTGGAAGAACCCCTCCACCTGAAACAGACATACAAAGTATGGGGGAAAGTAACATCAGGTGTTGTCACGAAGATTAAACTTGACTACTGTTCAGACTTCAACTTTGCACCAAGCACCCAGAAAGTGCACGTCTACCCTCCTGAAGTTTACTGTGGTAGTCTCATCGTTAGTTATGAACAATGAGATGCTTTCTGCTGTTTTTTTTTTCAACTGGAAGATGTTCATGCAAGTCAGCAAAACTCAGTAGCAAACCTTAAGAAAGGGGTAGTTCCTGAATTACGAAGAGCTAAATGGTGGAGCCCGGAGGTATCTATGCAACTGCTTCAACCAAATTATTACAAATGGACAGTAGATGCACTTCTAAAAAAAAGTTTTCAGTTTTGTAGCTGAAGCTGAAAAGGAGGAAGAGTTTGGAGATTTTCAGAGAGATTCCCACTTTGGCTTCCAAATCCACAGCTGGGATTTCTTAAGGCCCACTTCAGAAATTAAAGCAGTTTGCAAAAATGATATATTTATGCTTTGACTTTGCCAGAGATGATAAAATAGTATACACAAAAGAGAAATAGAATATCCTGGCAGATGATTCTGTTGTAAATAGCCTCCCATTTAATTCCCTTGTTTTAAAGTTTCTAACAAATACTTTTTCAGGACTGAAAGGTTTTGTGACCAGAGTATTAAGTTACATTATAGATGAGTTTGTGCACTGAAAAACATGCGGTCAGAGGAAGTGTAGCTTTTGTCACAAAGCCTCAATATTATTCAAACATAACTTGCGTCATGAGGCAAGTTAGAACAACCAAAATCTGCAAATAATGTTCACAGTTGAAACCAGATATTTACACCCATTGAATGAAATCTGAGGGGTGTCTGACATCACATTTGACCAACGTTTCTTGTTTTACGTCAGACAGGATTACCAAAATAATTTCTATTTTCTCAGAACTAACGTAACGTGAGAGAATTTTTATCATTTGTTCGACGTCAGAAGTTTAAGAAAACCCACATGGAAATGTTATTTCTCTGTGTTCTTCTGATTTTATTCTCGTTTTGATTTTATTAAAGAAACACCTCGGGATGGTTTTAAGGCAACAGCTCAAACACTATTTCCTTGTGTGACATTGTGGGAAATTGGAAGAAAAAAAAATCAGAACAAAACATCTTTTGAAGACACTCATCCACATAGGCTGAATGCCACTCAGCAAAGAAGAAGCAATTCAGTCATATGAAAAGTCAGACTTGCATATGGACTCAGGGAAAAGATCTTGATTATTTTGGAAACATGTCCTGTGGTCTGATGAAACCAAATCTGGTACAATTAGTCATCCTGACAGATGTTACTTTTGAAGAGAAAAAGGAGGAAGCTTTTCTAAGAACATCAACCCAACAATGAAGGACAGCAGCAGTTACGTGACACAGTGTGGGTGTTTCGCTGCAGGAGGGAGCATTGCACTTCTACTAAAGCAATCACATCGCAGGGAAACAACAGGATGTGGAAGCACAAACGCAACATTTCAAAACATCAGCTGGTTTTAAATGAGTACAACAAAGTCTTCATCTTAGTCCCATAGAACGTTTGTGGACAGAGCTGAGGTGTATCCAAGAAAAATGGCCTACAAATTTATTTCAGTTCCTCCACTTCTGTGAAGAGGAATGTGCTAAAATTTCCAGCAAGTTATTGTGCAAAAGCTAGAGGAAGCATACCGGAAATCATCTGAGCCATTAAGTCTGAAAAGCTATTTTCTGAAAATGTAAAGAAATGCATGTAAACTTCTGACTTCAAGCAGAAAAAAAGGAAAAATCTCTATAATTCATTTCATGCTAATTACTTTTAGGATTTAGCATATAGAAATAATTTTGGTAAACCTAATGAATAGTCTAGTCTCACATAATGTTAGGATTTTTTACTGTATATGTAAATGACTAGTTCCAACTTTAAGTACTGGTGTAGATGTGATATTTTCTCATGGTATAATCTGTTATGTGTTTTTAAGACACATAGAGCGTGACTAATTACTCAGAAATTTTGGCCAACTTTTTATCTACAGAATTGCATCATTTTACACTGAGGCCTGTGTGCAAACCCTGTGGTTGGTTTACATGCAGGAATAAGCCTCAATCTAATCTACATTGCGGTCATGTTCTTTTTAACAAGAACAAACCGTTCCCTGAAAATGCATCCAGCCACGTTGGCTTTGTTCACAGAAATGTCATGTTTAATATGGAAACCGAATCCTGGATCAGCTCAAATTTTAGCGCAAGTTTGGTCAAGTCTGTCTATTTTCTACACTCGTTTTAAACATGAAATCAGTGCCTGTTGCTGTGAATCACACTTTATCACTCTGGCAAAAAGCATTTAAAAATACATCAAATGATAGGAAGGTACATTAAGCTCTACTTTAACCAAATCACAAAATGAAATCTTTTGTAGGTTTACCTCACTTCCAGGAAAGGCGCCTTCTGATTGAGTTGTCACCACTCTGTCAGTTTGAGGTTTAAAGACAGGTTTCAGCTTTACACCTATTAATTTGGTTGAGTTTTACAAGCACCCGTTTGTTTTTTACTAGCAATCTTGTCTGCACAGAGAAAACAGGAACTTTTTATCCAGATTTTCTTGGCTGGATGACAAACTCTGAATTTACAGCCACATACTCTTTGATCAGTTACATTTACAGGCTTGAAATGTTAGCGACCGTAGTTTGAAGCCTGCATTTGCTACGACCCTGGAAATATTGAACAATGTTTGGGAAGTTTTTTAATTAACAATATGTTTACTTGGATGATGGATGACATCTTGTTTGGGAATGCCCTTACAAATTTTTTGCAAAACCAACAGTAAAGATTTAATTGGCATTCTAACTTAGGGAGCAGTATATCTAGTATGAGTGGTCACATTTATGTGGTCACTCATGAGTCACTGACTGCACCATGAACTCAATAAAGTAACTCACTACGGGATCACAAAAAAGTTAGCAGAAGATGTTTTATGACTTCACTGACGTTAATTTGCATGCATGCCATTCCACTTCATCATAATTTATATTAAAATTACCTTTTCATGACTCTGCGTCAGCCACTTCGCCACAGAACTGAGACGAGGATTTGGCACAGGCTTGTCATTAAATTTCTTCCACCTAAAAATCAAATTAACAATCATTACACTTTTGTTTTCCAGATGAATAACCAGAAATGGAAATGAGAAAATCAAGGAGTGAAACTTACTGAATGGCACAGGTCAACCCAATAGACAGCACAAGAACGACAAGAATGCCTCCACAGATGCTTAGAGCTTTAATAAGCCTGGGATCTGTACATTATAACAGACATGTATTACGCTAAAATTTGTCATGGCTTCAAGAAAAATAAATCATTTTCACTGGAAATTATTGCCATATTCGGTGGTCGTAACTTCACAGCACGTCCACTAAGAGAAACTTAGTGGAAACTTAGCCTCCAAAAAAAGACTCTAATAAACAATAACAGTTAAATTTTTTTAGAAGTTAAAAACCACCCAAAAATTTGCTTGCCTAATTCACTTTCACTAAAAACTAAATTAACAATCCAGTTTTTTATGAAAGCAGTATAAAATAAAATATATAAAAATAATAAAGTAAAATCAGTGATGCTTTTGTATATTTGTTTGGTTTTCTGAACCAAGCAAATATTTTTTTTTCAGTTTGAGCACATTCAAGACTCATGATATTTAATTGACGCAGATTGTGTTGGGTTGCTTTGAATTTAATTGGTTTGGAGTAGAATGACAAGGTGAAGGTAAAGATTTAAATATAGTTTACAACCTAAACGACCATAATTCCATTAGTTTTTGTGGGGGGTTTTTCTATTTGTTTGCTATTTATTAATAAAATGTTAATTGTTCCTGACAAAATCTATGTCCTCAAAATAAGGTTCCTGCCATACATGACACTGGTGATCTCACATTAAGCATACAGCAACTGATCATAGTTCTTTTATGTTGATATGTCTATTTTTATCTCAATTTGCATGATTTTTCACATTTCTATTAAAATATTTTTACTTGTAATCATCCAAAAGTAGCTTGTCTACAATAGCGATAGCTTATTTTAGCTCATCACTTCAGCTATTGTATTTCTCGCTATGGTATTGACCCAAGTACACACAAAGCAGAGCTGGCTTGATTTTTCTGTTTGATGCAAATTGTGTTTTGTGAAATCCTGCAATAAAAAACAATATAGTGTACACTTGGTAGGGAAAAATATGTCACTGTGTCTTTAAGAATGTTCTGCAATTTATAGTTATGCTTTGCTAAATTTGATATGTGCAAGTTAATTGTATTAGCTAAAGTATAAAACTGTTCTATCTTTCTAATAATTAAACTTTTATGCCAACTTTTGTAAAAAAAAAAAAATATATATATATATATATATATATATATATATATATATATATATATATATATATATATAGAACGTTTTTCTCTGATAAAAGAGAGATATATG